CAAACGATTTTTCAAGGTCTCATATTTATGTGTTCCTGGTGGATTAAGCACAATATCGCTAACCTGCTCGATGACTTGTTTGCCCAATTTCGGAAGCAACAAGTTAAACTTCGCTTCATCGCCTAATTTTTGAGAAGCTAGCACCGCCTCACACTGGGCGAACCATAATCGCGGCTGGTCGCACCAAAATTCCGGTATTCGCGATGATACGCTGATTGTTGCCAGCTCTGAATCTTCACGTAAATTTTCCTTCGCTTGTACGACTGGTTTAGAATTGGTAGCCATCCTATATTTGTTCTTCAGTCAGGTGTTGTTTTTCAGTCGGGTTCACCAATATGTGGCGGACGTGAGGAGAAAATAATAAGGCTTTAATAATAAGCGTTTATTGAAGTGCGTATTGCACTTGCGAGACCAAGCGAGAGACTGTACAATCGATACATATTCGATCTATAATCTAATGTAATATCTATACTTATATATTATGCTCGTTACAAATCATATTACCTCATGTTACAATAGGTACATTTTTAATAGCATCGTAAAGGCTTCGCAGATTTCTCATACACCGTTTTACAGCCTCGCTAAATAAAAAATGATATTCTAGAAATATTAAATATACATAGATTACAAGTGTTTATTATCATATACGATGCTCTAATCAGACACTAAGGAAGGCTAAGACTGGTCGTAAACACACTAACTCAGACCATGACACAAAATTTTGCAAGATTACCTAATACCGTATACGGGAATCGAACCCCTAGAAAATCTTGGTTCCTTACTCATTAACATTGCCAAAACGTTATTGATTAGTTTAGATTAATTTTATGATTAAAAAATTAAATAATTTAGTTAAAATGAAATATTTGATATACTACAACAATATGAAGCACAATAAATGTAGTAAATGTATCGAATTTCCTGTATCTTTTGTTAGGCAAAAGCATTGAAATTAAATCTGTCAATAAGTTTGATTGATTTTTATATTTGTTATTATATAAAAATCAATCAATCAAATAAACTGTATTTTAAAATTATTTAACTTTGAAATAAATCTGACAACAATTGGTGTTTTTGAAGTTAAAGAAAAATGGCTTTCGATAAACTATATATACATATAAAAAATAAATAAAGTAATAGCTAATAATTGAAAATCCTCTTGGTACAGTATTGAATTAAAATAAGCATTGATCATTCTTGCTGAACTGGTTTTGATTTAAACTATGACTATATTATATGAAACATATACTATTATTTGTTTTAGGCAGTGGTAGCCTAGTGGTAACGCGCTCGCTTGGGAAACCGAGTGAAGCAGGTTCAAATCCCGGGTCTCGCACCTGTGATATTTTCATGTGCGAATCATTTCCAACATGATTACCACTTGTCATTCAGTGAAGGAATACATCGTGAGAAAACTTGCGTGTCTGAGAGAACCTAGCAAGTTTTCAAAAGACATGTGAAGTTCACCAACCCGCACTTGGCCAGCGTTGTGGACTATGGCTTGATCCCCCTCGTATTGAATCCTCCTACCCGTGCCCAGCAGTGGGACGTTAAAAAGGGCGAAATACACATACTATTTTAAGCGATGTTAGGTATTTATTTTCGTCAACATATAATAACTTGAGCTCAATATATTTTGAAATCACTACGTTTTATTAGCTTCAATAGTGGTTAGTTACGTGAAAATATAACCATATAAAATATCCTATATAAGACGTTTTCATTGAATTCCACCTTTGAGTTCGCCTCTCTTACAATATATGTATAAAAAAAGTTATTATGAAACACATTCATGCCTGTAAAACTAACTCTTTTATATCATAAAATATTATCTTATATAATATCTAGTAACTCTAAGAAAGACGGACTACCTTTGTATAACTATAAAAACAATGGACCGAGATAAAGAGGGTTGAAGATCTGTTTAAGCTAGCCCTAAACAAAAATTAAGAGGATGACCTTATTAATGGAGGGGCGCTTGAAGAAGAAGAAGTATGCATAAGTAACGAATACACATACATACTAGTGAAATCCCTTGCTTCCCCATACAAACCATAATATTTTTTTAAAATTATAAAAAATGTTTATAGTTAAAAAATATTGTAAGGTAGATAATTGGTGCAATTTTCAGTTTGTTAATTGTGGGTAGGCTGTCTGTAACAACTATACATTCAAGACACGTAACACCTCAGTCTCTCCCGTGACCATGGATGCTGTAAAGCCTTCGAAACGTCGGAAACCAAAAATCAAAATAAATCCGCGAAATAATCCGAAAAGATAGTTTTATTTAAAATGTCAAATATTCGCGTAAATCTAAGAAAGTATTCAAGATTTAAATCAAATGTAGTAAATCGATTTGAAATACATTGACTCCCTAACTCGAGTTACATAACTGAATCTTAGTCGATATCTCTAACGAAGCGGAAGTAGGCCCTCCGTCTCACAAGCTTGTGACAATAAGCTATCAGTCGCATTAGCATGCAACATGTAAGGCTAATCGGTTTACAGAGTTATTTTTATACTTCATTCTTTATTGCAAACTAATATTAGAATACTTGCTATATAATATTTTATGTAATAGCAAGTTTGTATATTGTATTGCTTCTACTCTATATATTTCTCAAACTAAAAAAATAAGTAGATGGAGTCAAAAATAAATGTCAAAATCAAAAAAATAGCGTGATTTGCTGCTTTACGGATCATCTCTAAGTACATTTTGACGGTTAGTATAGATTTCTGAGAAATATTTTCCTGCAGTAAAATGTACACTGACCCGGATAACCAGCTATAATTATACCAAATTTCATCAAAATCTATCCAATGGTTTTCACGTGATGCGTTCCCAGCCAGACAGACAGATAATACAGACAGATAAAAAATCTAAAAACTATAGATTCGGCTTCTGTATCGATAATTATGACTATTTCAATAAGATTTTCCAAAAAATATTTAATGTACAGATTCGACTCAGTTAGAACTTTATTATATGTATAGATTATTTACATAGGTTACTGCTAGGCACCTAGGGGCTATTAAGTTGTTAGTTTACTAATAAATATAAATAATAAAATACGACTGGTTTCTGTAATACTTCCTAGAAATTTATGTAGGGCTAATAAAATTTATTTATATAGTTTCAAACATTTGAGTGTATAAATTTAGCCGTTTTCGTATAAAATATTCAAAATATATTTCTAGGGTGAAAACTTTCCAACTCACTTTAAAAGCGGAAAGAAAATATTTTATGGACTTAGGATTTAATGCTCAAGTTTGTACTGCAGTTACTTGGCATAAACACGCGTATATGAAAAGCAACTTTGATACTATGTTACAAAGTTCAAATTGCAATGAATATTCAACTAAATGAGACTTACGTAATTCTCTGAAGTTGGCTACTATTTAGTTTTCTGCAACATTAGACTGTTTTTATTTGGTTTGTATAAACAAATACTTTACTGCTACTATTACTAACTTACATTTTACTAAGCAATGTAGTACTTACTAATAAATTTTTATCTGTATATTCTAGATTTTTCTATATAATCGAGGGATTTTTCTTAAGCAAATAATAAAAAAGTTACATACTCACGATATTTAACATACAAATAATTCATTTTAAACAATTTCTTAACTTATTTTTTTACTGTTAATCCATTTTGTTCTTCTTCTTTTACGAAGAAGATATTTGTTATTGAATGTGATATTTTTTTCATTCACTTTCATACCTTTCCTTATATTGCGACGTCGATCATCAGCGGTATCGAGAAATTCTGCGTAGGTACATATATTATGATGACAGATAGATAAAATATCACGTATATCACGTCTTGAATTATATCAAAAGTACTAGCGACTCACCCTCGCTCCGCTCGGGTAGCGTCCCTACTTACGTTTTAACGTTTGGTACAGATTTCTCAGAGATGAGATTTTTTCCTGCACTAAAAAGTTTATTTTGTTGAAAACCTGGATATAATCATTATATATCCAGCATATTATATAATCATTATACCAAATTTCATAAAAATCCCTCCAGTGGTTTTTCCGTGATGCGGTCCCAGACACACAGACAGACAGAAAGACAAAAATTCTAAAAACTAGATTCGGCCTCTATATCGGTAATAATGTCTATTTCAATAAGATTTTCCAAAAAATATTTAATGGAAAGATTCGGCTTAGGTACAATTTTATTATATGTATAGATATTAATAGATAACAATTCTATTTTTTACCGATTTTGAAAAAAGGAGGACATGTGTTTTTTTATGTTTGGTGTTTACTACGCAACTTAAAGTTATGCATCAATACAACCATACTACTGGATTACCCGAATGTAAAACCTCCTTATTCTCACCCTGTACTATCCATATAAAGTCATTATTTGCAAACATGCTAAGCTACTCAATAGGGGTATATTTTCTTAACCCTTCTATCACTTACCCTACTATTAGCGAAAATGACATTTTTGTTTTAACAAACGTGTTAAAAGGCAGATGACCCATTAACGAGCTTAATTGTCCTGTTTTGATTGTTGATTACACTCCCTCCACGACCACGGACACGCCGGCGTTACAGTTAGCAATAGATTTCTTAGAAATTTAATTAATTTATTAGATAATTGATGATAGTGAATCTAATATTATTTCACCAGATATATCACCGGATAGGAATATGGTTTTGTTGAAAAGACTGGTGCATATTACAGAAATATTTATATATTCTTCTGTGGACCTAGAGTAGCTTTGCTCAAGCTTTAAGCTCATATTATACAATCTATTTACATTATACTACACTTCAATCTGTAAACTATCTGTCAGAAAATCAAGACGATCTCCTGTTCTGTTACTGCGTAAAAAACATTTTCGCGTGCACGCACTTTACAGATAAAATATGTGAAAGTAGCGAAAATGTAAATGTACGATGATTTAGCACTTGTCAAACTTAATGGGTTAGTCCACAGAAAGTTTTGTGGGATAATATTATTTTGACACAGTTATACTTACGGAAGGGGCCGTTAGAAGTTTCAACGCTTCGCTGAGATGTTTTAACGTTAGAGTGTCCCCATCCTCCTCTTCTGGACCCGGAAGGTGAACTGAGGACTGACGAGATCGGAACTCTTTTTTGCCGGAAGTACCGCCATTTGCAAATTGAAGTTGTGAGGACGCGCGGCGGAATGGACACGACATGTTTACTGATTTCGATCAAGTCATAGTATTGTTTCACACTAACACTTCAATATTTTTCTTTTACCTAGAACAAAATAATATTAATTAGTAAAATATTGTCATTTTATGTAATATAGTTTGATTTGTCTTTGACTGGCATTACCTAGGCTACGATGCAGTTCGACAGTTAAGTTCTTGCAAGAACTCAAAATTTATACCAATTATTTTACCGTTATTTGTTTTCGCGATATCCTTCTTTCAACATTATGCAATATTATATTTAAAGACCCTCCTTGTCTTTAATATTCAGGTACACAATTTGCATTAGATAAAACAAAACGTACTAAGATTTTTATCAAGACAAGTTCAACACAATGTACGAGTATATTATGACCCATACAATTATTTTCACATATTAGATATAAACGATTTTGCTTCGTAACATTCTGGTATTTCAATTTCAATTACTAAGGGGCATTACACGAATGGTTCAAATGGGATAAACGTTTGCAATGTTTCTGCGTCACAAACACTCTAAGTACTGATTATACTAACGAATTAACGAGAATGATAATGAGATACACTTTTGGGTTAGCTTGAACACGTACTTGATTAAGTGGATGGCGATAAGAAAAGATAAATAACGAAGTTTGGAAGTTTTACAAATATTTATATAAATTTTCAATGTAATTCTAATGAAAGGCTAACTTTTAGATATTTTTTGTATGGGAATATTTAATTTTCTTAAAAGCGAATGAACGTTAATTTTCGTCTTTAAAATAATTAATTTTAAGTGTAACTTAAGAATATTAATTATTATAAATAAATACTTTACATATTATAATAAATACGACACGTTAGGCTCAGCTTGTTATAATCCTACTTGCTGTGCCAGTGGCCGCGGGTACGAGTCCCGCTGGGGGCATTCATTTGTGTGATGAGCACGAATGCTTGTACTCCAGTCATGGGTGTTTATATTTATAATACGTATGTATTTAAAGTTATATATGTGTTATCAACTATCTATTATCCATAACACAGGCTTCCCATGGAACTAGATGGTGTTCTGTGTTAATTTCCCAACATATTTATTTATAACTATATTCTAGACCTAGTATAAAACAAAGTCAATAATCGAGGAGAATAAGAGAGGTTTATGTATTTATATAATTTTGTATAAAATCACTGAACTAAAAAAAACTGTTTTTATACGATTACATGGTTAACGCTGGCTAAACCTATAGAGATAAATCAAAACAACGTAGGTATTAGAATTTTTTTTAGAAAGTCACAAATATATACGTAGGTAAAGCTAAATATCTACAAAATATGTTATTCTACAAGATGAGTAAATATAGGCAAACGTAGGTCAAAACGTATTGGGAAATAATATATACCAAAATTACATCTCGCCAGCACCTTGGGGACACGCTTAATCTGTACATAATTAATTTCTGGTTCGCCCTTAATGCAAAGGTCAGACGGCAATTGCGCTTAATAACTAAAATCTATTAAATGTGATGAATATCGTATAGATATGGGTCTACTTCGTAGATGTAAGAAATATTACTTAATTGTCACTTATCGTTTCTATCTACTTTATACGTATCTTCGTTTTAAGGTGGGCTATGTGTTTGATCTGTATGTAGGTCCGATCCTATGCTCCCTCGTAATTACTAAACGGCTTAAATAAATAAATAATTAGCCAATATAAAACGTAAATTCACGTTGTGAAAAACGCAACAAAAATAAAACGTATCTCTCCGACTGTATAATAGTATTTTCCTTCGATAACTCGTTCCTTTCTTTTTAGTTCGCTTATTACACAGTCGGGTTTGTAAATTTCTATATTTTTTTATATAATGTAATGATAATAACTACTAATTTAGCATTTTTAAAAAGCTTTTTTAATATACTGATTTTAATTATTCATCCTAAATGTTAGGGAGGAATCTTAAGTAAATCTTAATTATTTCTCCAATAATTTTTGATCTAAAATCTATAATCATATTCTGTAACCTAAATTCAATGAGCTATGCTGAATTTCTATAAATTTAAATATTTAGAGGTTATATTAAATTACGTAAAATATTTTCAAAAGAAAAAAAAACTGTTAATGGGATAAAATTTGTATATAATATACTAGCTTTGCGTTCCGCTTTGTCCGTATTTTAATAGGTAATTTCTCTTCTTTTAAAAGTCGTAGCGCAATGCTAACCTTACCTTTTTCAAAAGTATTTTTTACTAGTAGGCTTTATAATGCAAAAAAAAGTCAGTTCTAGAGATAAGCGCGTTTTAATAAACAAACTACTACTAAAAATACTACTAGATAAATTTCTAAAATATTTAGTAGGGAATATAAGGTTAAATAAAAGTATTTAAACTTATAAGTACCTAATAGTTTATTTTTAAACTAGCGCCTCATACTCGTTTCGCTCGGGGTTCGTCCCTAGGTTGATTCCCCATAAAAACTTTCATCCAAATTTTCACCTCCTTAAGGGATGATTTCCAGAATAAAAAGTATCCAAAGGCCTTCCCAGAGATTCAAACTATGTTCTTACTAAATTTTATCTAAATCGGTTCAGTAAATCCAGAGATAACCCCCTACAACGTCACAAACTCACAATTCACAAACTTGACCTCTTTATTATATTAGTATAGATTAAGGTTAAAAAACATACATACATTGAGAACCTCCTCCTTTTTGAAAAAGTCGGTTGATTATACATAATATACCTAAAGATAACCGAATTATACCTGTAAACAGTAAAGCTAAATGCAAAAGCTCATCTTTCACATAAAAAATATTACCAATTACACAAATGGTACCAAAAATGTCCAGAATGTTTTTCCTCACGTACAAGTAGTAAATAATTTGAAGCGCTAACGTCGCTGAGATAGAAATAAACCATTTATTTTATTTATGGCTTCGATATTGGTGAAGTACATACACTATATATTCTACCTCGTAGTAATTCTACGAAATATTTGTTGGATAATACTTCTTTCTACACGTAATTTTAGCTTGAGGAATTTTGTTGTTCTTAACTTTTAGGATGGTTTTGACCTAATTTATAAGAGGACTCAATTCGAATTTGTTTTTGTGTAACTTCCGATATCTTCGCAAATTCAGCACTGATTTTAATGATTTTCTTAATAAATACTTAATAACCGCAAAAGTAAACTATTTATTGAAACCCCGTATAATTTATTGAGGATCCATATAAATTTCAATAATACGTATATAAGCTGTTAAGTTAAAAGTCGTTTTATAACCAAGATTTTTAATATACAGCCAGTGGGTTGTCATCATGTTACATTCAAGTATACTTAAGCAAAGCTGAATCGATTAGACAGAATTTCCCGTAAAGTTCCTACTGGCGAATCAAAATATCCAATCAGCTTGTTTGTCAAACAAGAATTGACAAATCGGGTGATGAAGAAGCTTATTGAATGTCAAAACGACAGTCCACTCGACAAGTTGAATCAATATATTAAATGTGCGTTCGATGGTCAATGAAGTGATTCATTCAATTTGCTGTCAGTTGCGCCCACTGCGGATTGCAAAATTTTAAGAAATGGTTAAAAATTTTCGACTTTGAAATAAAACATTGGATTCATATTTACTTTTACAATAAAGGCACTAGACTTTTACAATATAGACACTTCCTTACACAATTTCTTTTTCTTTCTATCGCGTTTTAAAAGTAACGCAAAAAGTAATAAATTTGATACAAACTAAGGTTTTTTATTTGAAATATTGGCTTTCAGTTCTGTATTGATTAAAGTACGGTCAATTTAGAAAGAAATTTTAAACAAGCTAACTTTCTAGATTTCGCTAATAGATATTAATTAAAACATTTATGAAAACGATTGTGATATATTATGGGAAAGAACCAAACTTATATAACGTTTAGATATGTGTATGTATGTCAGTTGTATCCATTTTCAGGATTCCGTTGCCGAAAGGCTAAAACGTAACCCTTTTAAACTCATCAGGTCCGTCTGTCTGTATGTCACAACCATTTTATTCAATGGACACTGTAGCTAAATTGCTATCATTTGGTAGATATTTATTTGGGTAAAATTTTCATATTAAACGAATACTTTTGATTTTTTGGCATATTAATTACAAGTTATATCTTTATATTTATTTCGTGGCGCCAACAATACGTCGTCGTGAGTGGTGTTGTGAGAGTTCCAAGTCTTTCTTGGCAACCTCTTTTTGCAATTCCTACTCGAAAATAATTCAAAATTGTTAATAAACTCAACATTTAATAATACTGCTTATAATAACCTGAGCGCGGAAATTTATTTGTACTAGTTTTTGCCAGCGGCTTCGCTTGCGTCATAAACGGACTGGGGTTTAAAGGTGTATGGCGAAAATCAAAGGCCTATGTGCGATCCCCGGGTGTAATCTAAGACCTTGTAAAATTTTATCGAAATCTGTTCAGCGGTTTAAGCGTGAAAAAGTAACAGCCAGTTATTGGAAAAACCCTTCAGGTATAAATTATTAAGTTTCAACTAGCAGAACGCGTGGCTACGCCCGCGTTCAATCTACAAAAAAAAAACTCTTTGGCTTTATGTTATACAGCGACTCACCCTCGCTTAGCTCAGGTTCGTCGCTATGTATTTATATAATATTGTTCATACAAAACAAAAGCAGCATGAAAAATACTTTACGACCTATTCTCATACCCCCAAATATACAAAAAAAATCGTTAAAATCGTTTCGTAGAAATGAAACCATAAACACCGTGACACGATATTTATATATTAGATAAAAATAATGAAAATCGATAATTATTGGCGAAAATATCAAGTACTATAGACTAAAATACAATCGAACCGAGTAAGCCGAAAGTATAAGCTTATGAATACAAAAAATAAACATTTGTATTTACACATTACACAGTACACTTACATTACGCCTTTATATAGTGAATTTTTTTACATAAAGTTTTTATATTATAACTGAATAAGTATATTTAAATAATAATATGAAAAATGACTTATTAGTC